TTGTCAACGGTTTTATCTCGGCACGTTTAAATGTCCGTCCCACTCGCGGTCCGACTGTCTGCTGGTTCTGCTTCCCTTTGCGCGGGCCAAAATGCATTTCAACATATTTTGTTGCCAAGTGCGCAAAATTTCATGTAGGCATTTTAATGCCTACATGCGCGAAGGGCTTACAACTATTTACCAGCCATTTAGCTGCCCATAGACCATCTTTGGCAGGCACATAAAGATATTGAATAGTTAATAGCTATTAAGAGAAATAACTATGTTTAACACGTTGCATTGCTGCCTAACTCAAGCATAGTCAGAAGCGTAAAATATGGGAAATTAAAATTGATTATTATTCTTATTTTATGCATTGAATAAATTCAAAAGTGATAAAAGGGTATAATATAATATATAATGTGCTTATATATATATTCTATATATATATATTTTTGATCAGGAAAAAGAGCTGAGTTCATATAGTCATAGCCGTCTATGATAGATCTATGAGATCGCTTCGATCTCGCTATAAAAATACAGTACACAGAATGAGTTAATAGAGTCTTGTGATTAGGTATATATATACTCGAGAATATCATATTAAAGCCCTGAAAATTTCATAAGGTAGAGCCTTGCGCTTATATAAATGCACACTAGAGTATATCATATATAAGCACTGAAAATTTCATAAAGATCGGACTACAGACACCGAAGATAATTAAAGACACATTTCACATACAATGCTAACAAGAAAAGAAGAAGCACATCCGCAGGCTAAAGTACATGTCTAATTTTATGCATGTACATAAAGAGAAGATTGAATGTTTGAAATTATAGCTTGACGCTGGGTTCAGGGTATCTCCTAGTCGGTCACTTTAGACATAGCTCAGGGAAATTTAAGTGATGAACAATTTAAGCGCGGACTAAATGATTTCTTACAGTGTAGGCACAACTCTACTTAACTTATATAGAGAAAAAGCTTCTTCAGCTCAGGCTCTAGCCTGGAATTAGAGTCTCGAGTTCTAGCCGAACTTAAAAAGAATCTAAATTTCTGCTACTGCCTGGAGTACTGGAACTTAATGTGCAAGGTGGATAGCCTGATTACTAAGAAGTGTTTATTCAAAAGTAATCATGCCTGGGTACTGGGTGCCCCTTGTCGGAGATTAAACTCGAAAGATTGCTGAGAGAGCGAAAAAGACGACGTGAGATTGCAGTTTTATGTGTACCAAGTGCGGCTTTAGACGAGCTGCGGGAACTACAGTCGGTTATCGAAAAAATTTCGTTGGGGTTCAATGGCACCCCAGAGTGGGAAGAGAGGCAAAGGATTATGCAACAAACGAAATATCATCATCGTGTTGGTGCTCGTTGTGCTTTCACAGAGCCCAAAACAAGCGACGCTTATTAAGGCGCATTAATAATTTAGAATGGTTTGCTACCATTTCGCATAGTTTGAGTTATGCCTTTGGCTACACGTACAAGTATTACGCGTCAATTATGAATTTCTAATTTAACGAGTTTATTTTTTTTTTTCATTTTACGCCCCTTTGCCCTTTCGTCTGTTCTATGAACATCACGTACAGTGCACGCAGTCGGCAAAAAGCGAAAGCTGCTGAGGCCAATGGCATCGGAAACAGCGCGTTGCCATAAACAATTATCGCGTTAGTAATCATTTTATATTTCATTTTAATTACCAACGAGTCAATTGACTTTTTATGAATCTGCCTGGCGCTAGCCAACACCTCCTCCAAATGCAGCTGGCGGCGTGCTCAACAAAGTGCTCAAAGGGCGGCGGTGCGTTTTTTATTACATCTTTCTGATATCGTTCATCTTGTTAACGTGAGTCCTAAAAGGCGCCTGGCATAACAATAAGCTAGCATCTGCGGCATTAAATAAGTAAATTTATCACAGATTGCTTTTAAAGTGCCGCCATATTTCTTAGTTCGTCACGATATACTATCACAGATGAGTGACAGCCTGCAGGACCTTAGGGGTGCTTATTTCTAGTTACATTTATTCTATAATTTATTCGTATGTTTTATGCTTTCAAAATACACAGCTATTAATGATAACAGCAACAACTTTGGTCATCTTACAATATATATATATATATTCCATAGTTGAAGCCGCCGCCTCCTTCACATTAAGTGAAGACTTACTTGAATTCATGAGAATCGCATAGTAGGGCATTTGTAAACTGAACTTTTTTCATAATTTACAGCGCAGCTGGAGGTTAACTTAAACTTGCATTTACATATATTATATACATGCATATACCAATGCATGCATGCATACATGCATTTTCTATATACATACATACAATCAAACGAACATACATTAATACATACAAATATACACACATACATACATACTACATATATAGAAACATTCTTTCATACATGCATGTGCATACTTATATACATACTACATAATACATACCTACATATGAACGCACATCAATACATGCACACATGCATACAAAGTTGCATACAGATATATATACACACATGCATACAAATATGTACACCCACATGCATACATACATACATACATACATGCATATACATATACATATACGTATACATATGTGCATACAATACATACATACACACATACATACATGCATACATGTATACATGCATACATTCATGCATACATGCATACATTCATGCATACATGCATACATATATACATGCATGCATACATATATACATGCATGCATATATACATACATTCATGCATACATACATACATCCATACACACATACATACATACATAAATGCATACATACATACATGCATACATGCATACATGCATACATACATCCATACACACATACATACATACATTTATGCATACATTCACAAATAGGCTCAAGCAACTATTGTATTTCCATATTGCAGCCTGGCTTGTGTCTAAACGATTATCTCCCTGCACCCTAAGCTGAGTCAATTCCCTAGAGAACAACAAAGGAGACAAAAGAGCACCTTATTGCTATGGTTCTCGCCTTTGCGAGGAGAAGAACGAAAATCCGAGAGGTATAATGCTGAGGATCAGGCTTAAATATATATATTCAGCTATTCTATTTAATTCGTTCGTTTTAAGGTCCGTCTTAAGGAAGAAATGAATAATGTCGTTCCACTTTGCAGCCTGGCTTGTGTCTAAACTAATCTCTCGCTCTCGCTGCCATAGCTCAGATAATTCCCTAGAGGATCACTCAACTGAAGACCATCTTATTGCTGGGTCTCTCATTCTATGCGACTCTCAGCTTTTCAATTGGATTCCACAACTTGCGTTCCACCGAGTTCCATGTCACGTTTGCGAAGCAGAAGCGACAACAATGTGAGCATTTGCCATTGTAATTGTAATTGTGTTTGTCTTTTTGGTTGTAGTTGTTGTCGTTGTCGCCTACATTTCTTTGCCGCACGCACCTTCAAGGTGTGCGTGTGTGCGTGTGTGTGTGTTTTCTCTACCTTTTGCATTCTTAATAAATCAAAGTGAAGAATATATAAATTGGGCGTCGCATTGGTACGTCGGTCGCAGTTAGTATTTGGAAGCCAACGGTGCCTCACAGGTGTGCGAGTGCAAGCTTTGGTTATAAGAAAGAGATCTGCATTACGCTTGGATATATCAATTGGATAAGACACACACACACACACACACACACGCACAACCAACAAGGAATACTATGAAAGAGTCGCGACTCAGTTTCAATTAAGTGCATGCTCTTGTGATAAAAGTGATTCAGATACAGATATATATATAGAGAGATATAACTGAACAGTTTGTGCGAGTTATTCGTGTGAGCATCATGTGCAAGTTCGTCGTCTGTCTAATGCTGCTCCTGGCCGCCGCCTGCTGCAGCGCGGGACCGCTTCCCCAGCAACAGGTGGGTTGGATTTGGGCTTGCACTTGCGACGACTTCCGTTCTTAACGGATATCGAAACGGGCAACGGAAAACTGTTAATGAAATGTTCGCCTTGGCCAGGCATAGTCTGAAATTTTAAATGGCACGAGCGTCCCGAACGTCCCCAGTTGAGTTAGTCATTCGATAGACCAAGGTGTCTGCAGACGCATTTGCATAAGACATTTGCGCTGTTTGCTTAGTTGGTATGCCAAACGTCTAGCCTTTTAACGGCTAAATGCAGCAGATGAGTCGCCCAGGTATTTATAGATAGCTGCAGGTACCCTTCATTTATGGCAGTCCGTTCTATGTGTTGGCAACACTTGAGCCCAGCCAATGCCAAATAAATATATAGCAAGAATAATTTAATGTGTAATATGTGCAAATTTGGGAGAATAAATAGATAGATATTCGAGAAGTTCCAAAAGAATATAGCGGAGGGCATTAAGACATAAAATAAATGTGTGTAATAGGTTTATATTTGGCGGTAAATAAGTGAGAGAAGGACGACTAGGAACTCTCTTCTTCCAACAGGCGATAGGCGATAAAATGAAAGATACTTGATATATATACATATATATATATATTATGCTAGAAGCTACATGTCAAGTTTGGTGAAACTAGCTCATATTATTTTCCGAAATTGCTCAAAAAACAGGATTTCGATATCGATTTTTATCGATTACTTGGAAACGGGGCAAGTTATCGAATATCGGAAACAAACTCGATATGCGCGGCGACTAGGAGGACCTACAGCCAAAATTTCCCGTATCCAGCTCTTATAGGTTCTGAGATCCTTGAGTTCATAAATACGGACGAACGGACGGAAATCGACTCGACTGTTGATGCTGATCAAGAATATATATACTTTATGTGGTCGGAGATGCTTCCTTCTGCCTGTTACATACATTCGCACAAATATATAATACCCTTTTTACCCCATTTCAATGGATTTAGGGTAGGCTTAAAATCTTCCAAAAACCTTACCGATATATTTGCAAACGGGTTTTGTATTTCGTAAACGATATCTGACAATAGCTGACCGAAAGCTCGTCAGCTCATTGAAATGCGTGTCGTCTCAATGAAACAAATAACATATCGATATATGGTTAAAAATATGATGTGATAACATTCGGGCGACGCCATTCGAAAGTGACTTCAATTGCAGCGCTGACCACAAAAGGTTTTCCGCGCAGGTGCGAACGCATTTTGGGTTCAGTTTTCACTTAACGCCAAAAACTAGAACACAAGTGAAATTTTCGTCGTCGTTGCCTAGCCGCAGTCATAGCCATAGTCATAGCCACAATTTTAGCTGCTGTCCGGCAATCATGTCACGTGCTGCGTTCATTTGGGATTTGCGAATGCGCAGCACGTAGTCCGCGTTAGCTGAATGTTCGCTGGGCTAATCCATAAGGTCTTAATGTCTTCACCCCAACTCTTTTGCAGCGAAAGAATATGCCTATTGTGGCACGCGAGGACAGTGCACCGGCTGTGCAGGAGCCGGAGGCGGAGCCGGAAATGCCAGCCAGCGGCAGCGCAGCGGAAGCAGCTCCTCTGGTGGGCACATTGACGCTGCCGAGCAATGCCACCTCGATACGGGCGGACATAACGGACAACTTTTCGTGTGCGAACAAATCGTATGGCTACTATGCGGATGTGGAGAACGACTGCCAGATCTTTCATGTGTGCCTGCCGGTGACCTATGCGGACGGCAAGGAGAACACCTTCCGCTGGAGCTTCATTTGCCCCGAGGAGACGATCTTCAGTCAGGTAAGCGCGGCGCTAGACCATGCAGTTATATGTTGCTAAAGTCCCTTTGCAGGAATCCTTCACTTGCATGCGGCGCGAGGACATGGCCATTGAGTGCGAGGACAGCTACAGGTACTACGAGCTGAACGGCAACTTTGGCCTGCCCGCGGAGGAGGAGAAGGAGAGCGCCAATAAGCAGCCGGAGAGCGAACAGCTCGACCAGCAGAAGCCCCAGCCCGAGGAAAGCGAAGAAGCTGCTCAAGCTGCTCCGGCTGAACCCGCTGTAGTTGTCGTCCCCGCTCCGGAGCCAGCGAAGCCCGTGAAGGTGCAAAAGCCCAAGCCAAAGCCGAATCGCCGCAAGCCCGCCGTCACCTACAACAAGCCCGCCGTCGTATACAACAAGCCCCAGAGAAAGGCGCCCGTTGTCGTCGCCACAGCAGCTCCGGTTGTTGAAGCCGTCGAGGAACCAGAACCCGAAGTCGTGTCTGTGTCTGTTGTCCCGCAGGCGTCCAAGCCTCTGAAGCCGCAGCGTTTCAGCGTTCGGCCCAATAAGGATAAGCCGCAGCACATCAAGCCGGCTGTGCCTGCAACTGCGGCGCCCATTCGCAATGAGCTCTTCAATTCCATACGCAAGCGTCCGGCAATCTTCAACAAGAACAGCGCGTCCAGCACCGCAAAACCTGTGCAGGAGAGCGCAGAGCCAGCGGTCACCGAAGCAGTTGTCCAGGCGGAGCTCAGTGAGCCGCAGCCCACGCTGAAGCTGCAGACAATGTTTGTGGAGCCAGTTGCCCAGGCCTCCGAGCCGGTTGTGGCTATTGCAGAGCCAGAGCCAGAGGCAGAGCCGGAGCCGGAGGCAGAGCCGGAGCCAGAGGCAGAGCCGGAGCCAGAACAAACCAAGCTAAAGGAGCCGGTGGAGGAAGCTAGCCCAATGCCCGATCAAATGGTTGAAATAAAGCCCATTGAAGCCATTCCAGAGATTCCAGCTGTGATCGTTGAGAGCTTGGCGGAAAAGCCGCAAGAGATTGAGTCAGCTGATGAGCAAGTGCCTCAAATGGAGGTCATAGCCGCCGAAAGTCCCATGGAGCCCGCGATTATGGAGTCCAGCGGCTCCGGTGAGGAAAGTTTGAACAATATTGAAGCGCTGGAGGCGGCCAAGCCAGCGGATGCGCCCGTCAGCCTGCCAGCTACGCCAGAAATGGCGAATCCTAGTCCCCTGGTGGAGCAGATGCTGGACAACAATAGCGAGATGCAGGAATCTATTGGCGGCTTCAAGCCCGTCGATCCAGTCATGGCTGCTGAGGCGGAACAGCTGATCACCGACTTTCTGAACACGCTGCGCAAGCACGAGACGAAAACCGAGACTGAGCTGGCCAATGCTGCCATGGACATGGCCGAAACCGTTGAGCAGCAGCAGCAGCCACAAATTGAAGAGAACGACTCGAAGCCGGCAATTGAAGAGACCGAAGCGGCAGCGGCCGTTTCCGTTGAGGAGGCCAAGCTGCCGGAGCCCGACACAGTCGATCCGATTGCCTCGGTCGAGGAGCAGCTGCTGGAAACGGAGCCACAACTGAAACTGAAGCTGAAACAGAAACAGAAAGAGGACTCGCCCATCATCAACATCATGCAGCTAAATCATTTGCCCGCAGACTATCAAATACCCGTGCAGGTGGTTGCAGCACCTGAAGCAGCTGAGGAGTCCGCTAAAGAGACGGAAGTCCAGGGAGCAGCAATCCAAGACGATGCACAGGAGAGTCTGGCCTCGGCTGCCTATATGCCCGCCATCAGTATTGACGACATTGTGGAGCTGGTCAAGGAGCGTCTCGATCAGAATCCCAAGAATGAGCAGCTGACGCCCATGGAACTGGTCCTAACACCAGGTGCTGCTGCTCCCATGACACTGATAGAGAGCACCGCAGAGCAGAAGCCGGAGGGAGAGCCACAAACGGCAGCTCTCATTGTGGAGCCGGCGCCAGCTGCTGCAGTGGAGGAGGAGGAGGCACCTATTCTGCCCATTTACAAGCGAGTTTCTGTCGCGGATCCGGCAATGTCCGCGGCGCAAACCCAGCCGGTGACCGTCAGCAAAGCAGAGACTGAGGTGGAGACTGAGGTGCGTGAGCCCAAGTCCCAGACAAGAATGGATGCACGCAAGCGTCGCTTTCTCTTTCGCGCCGATGCCAGCTAGGAGCAAAAAACCTTCCTCCAAACAAAACCCGCCCGCAATAAGCAAACCTAAAGCCGTAGCCGTAGCGGAGCCCATTTCCAAAAAAAAAAAACAAAAACCCACGTCCAAGGCTCCCGACGCTGTTCCCAGCTCATTTGCAGCTTTACAGACTATTTTTTGACATTTTCTAGTTTTATGGCCATTTCTTGAAATTTAAGTTTAGCATTGTTACAAAACAAACAAGATAAACAAACAAAAAAAAATTAAAAAAAAACTTTTAATAAAAATATTATAAAATCAAAGACAGGTATGTATGTATTTTTTTAAGGTAAATCAAAGACGGTTATTAACTGCACAGGTGTGCGGATCTCTCATCAGTTGGCTAGCTCCATCGTGCACAGGTTTGAGTGCTTGAGTTTGCCTAATGGCATTCAACCTTTGAACGCTAGAGATGGCCAACTGAAAAGCGACCTAAACTAATACAGGTGATGGCAAGTCAAGGAACAAATGGATGAGAATCGGCTAATAAATATATTTGAAATATATTTCATAATACATCATATTCGGAAATTCAACGTGCTGTCTAACATTTGCTGGCTGATTCTTTACCCTGTACATGCTGTCAAAGAAGGGTATTTGCAGTTTTAAGACAGCTAGAGGGAGGCATTCCCTACCATATTTAATTATTATGTATCAAGTATCGCAAATAGGGCAGAATGTTTCACAAGATATAGCCCGTGCACAGGTCTAAGTTTTCTGAGTATTTATTCAAATATTAAAAAGTGTACTTACCCCAAAATTGCACGCACGACTATTTTGTTGCCACCTATTAGAAGTAAGGAGACAGACTTTATTATCAGCACATCTCTAAAAAAATGCAGGAAATATTTTTTTATAATAGTGAGAAAGAGAAAGAAAGAGAGCGAGAGAGTGGAGTGCAAGAGCATAAATAAAAGTGAGAGTAGCAGCAGAGATAAAGTTTATTAATATAACTAACTAACTTGTTAAAATAGCATTCATATTCAAAATCTGAAGCTGGCAAATCTTATTTGACTTCATGATCATCGCATAGTGGAACAATATTTAATAAAACGATATTAACTAAATCGCACCCATATAAGAAAATCATAGAAATCTTCTTATAGATTCCTATATATAGACATAGGTCAAAATATCCCACCCCAGTAACTCAGCCAAATCTTATCAGATTTTCACGAGGTTTGGCTTTTTCTTCATGGTTTTCCCTCTAGATTAATCTGGCATTCAAATCTGACTACGTAAATTTTAGTCAAAATTCATGTCAAAATCATACCCCTAAGATTCGTATAAAGACATAGGCCAAAATTTCCCATCCCCATATCTTGGTCAAATCTCATCCGATTTTCACGAGGTTTGGCGTTTTCTTCATGGTTTTCCCTCTAGATTAATCTGGCATTCAAATCTGACTACGTTAATTTTAGTCGAAATTCATGTCAAAATCATACCCCAAAGATACGTAAATAGACATAGACCAAAATTTCCCACCCCCATAACTCAGCCAAATCTCATCAGATTTTCACGAGGTTTGGTTTTTTCTTCATGGTTTTCCCTCTAGATTAATCTGGCATTCAAATCTGACTACGTAAATTTCAGTCGAAATTCATGTCAAAATCATACCCCAAAGATACTTACGTATATAAGTAGACGTAGGCCAAAATTTCCCACCCCCATAACTCAGCCACATCTCATTAGATTTTCACGAGGTTTAGCTTTCTCTTCATGGTTTTCCCTCTAGATTAATCTGGCATTCAAATCTGACTACGTAAATTTTAGTCGAAATTCATGTCAAAATCATACCCCAAAGATTCGTATATAGACATAGGCCAAAATTTCCCACCCCCATAACTCAGCCAAATATTATTAGATTTTCACGAGGTTTGGCTTTTTCTTCATGGTTTTCCCTCTAGATTAATCTGGCATTCAAATCTGACTACGTAAAATTTAGTCGAAATTCATGTCAAAATCATACCCCAAAGATACGTATATAGACATAGGCCAAAATTTCCCATCCCCATATCTTGGTCAAATATCATCCGATTTTCACGAGGTTTGGCGTTTTCTTCATGGTTTTCCCTCTAGATTAATCTGGCATTCAAATCTGACTACGTAAATTTAGTCGAAATTCATGTCAAAATCATACCCCAAAGATTCGTATATAGACATAGGTCAAAATATCCCACCCCAATAACTCAGCCAAATCTCATCAGATTTTCACGAGGTTTGGCTTTTTCTTCATGGTTTTCCCTCTAGATTAATCTGGCATTCAAATCTGACTACGTAAATTTTAGTCGAAATTCATGTCAAAATCATATCCCTAGGATTCGTATACAGACATAGGCCAAAATTTCCCATCCCCATATCTTGGTCAAATATCATCCGATTTTCACGAGGTTTGGCGTTTTCTTCATGGGTTTCCCTCTAGATTAATCTGGCATTCAAATCTGACTACGTAAATTTAGTCGAAATTCATGTCAAAATCATACCCCTAAGATTCGTATATAGACATAGGCCAAAATTTCCCACGCCCATAACTCAGCCAAATCTCATCAGATTTTCACGAGGTTTGGCTTTTTCTTCATAGTTTTCCCTCTAGATTAATCTGGCATTCAAATCTGACTACGTAAATTTTAGTCGAAATTCATGTCAAAATCATACCCCAAAGATACTTACGTATATAAGTGGACATAGGCCAAAATTTCCCACCCCCATAACTTAGCCAAATCTCATTAGATTTTCACGAGGTTTAGCTTTTTCTTCATGGTTTTCCCTCTAGATTAATCTGGCATTCAAATCTGACTACGTAAATTTTAGTCGAAATTCATGTCAAAATCATACCTTAAAGATTCGTATATAGACATAGGCCAAAATTTCCCACCCCCATAACTCAGCCAAATCTTATTAGATTTTCACGAGGTTTGGCTTTTTCTTCATGGTTTTCCCTCTAGATTAATCTGGCATTCAAATCTGACTACGTAAATTTTAGTCGAAATTCATGTCAAAATCATACCCCAAAGATTCGTATATAGACATAGGCCAAAATTTCCCACCCCCATAACTCAGCCAAATCTCATCCGATTTTCACGAGGTTTGGCGTTTTCTTCATGGTTTTCCCTCTAGATTAATCTGGCATTCAAATCTGACTACGTAAATTTTAGTCGAAATTCATGTCAAAATCATACCCCAAAGATTCGTATATAGACATAGGTCAAAATATCCCACCCCAATAACTCAGCCAAATCTCATCAGATTTTCACGGGGTTTGGCTTTTTCTTCATGGTTTTCCCTCTAGATTAATCTGGCATTCAAATCTGACTACGTAAATTTTAGTCGAAATTCATGTCAAAATCATACCCCTAAGATTCGTATATAGACATAGGCCAAAATTTCCCACCCCCATAACTCAGCCAAATCTCATCAGATTTTCACGAGGTTTGGCTTTTTCTTCATGGTTTTCCCTCTAGATTAATCTGGCATTCAAATCTGACTACGTAAATTTTAGTCGAAATTCATGTCAAAATCATACCCCAAAGATTCGTATATAGACATAGGCCAAAATTTCCCACCCCCATAACTCAGCCAAATCTCATCAGATTTTCACGAGGTTTGGCTTTTTCTTCATGGTTTTCCCTCTAGATTAATCTGGCATTCAAATCTGACTACGTAAATTTTAGTCGAAATTCATGTCAAAATCATACCCCAAAGATTCGTATATAGACATAGGCCAAAATTTCCCACCCCCATAACTCAGCCAAATCTCATTAGATTTTCACGAGGTTTGGCTTTTTCTTCATGGTTTTCCCTCTAGATTAATCTGGCATTCAAATCTGACTACGTAAATTTTAGTCGAAATTCATGTCAAAATCATACCCCAAAGATTCGTATATAGACATAGGCCAAAATTTCCCACCCCCATAACTCAGCCAAATCTCATCAGATTTTCACGAGGTTTGGCTTTTTCTTCATGGTTTTCCCTCTAGATTAATCTGGCATTCAAATCTGACTACGTAAATTTTAGTCGAAATTCATGTCAAAATCATACCCCAAAGATTCGTATATAGACATAGGCCAAAATTTCCCACCCCCATAACTCAGCCAAATCTCATCAGATTTTCACGAGGTTTGGCTTTTTCTTCATGGTTTTCCCTCTAGATTAATCTGGCATTCAAATCTGACTACGTAAATTTTAGTCGAAATTCATGTCAAAATCATACCCCAAAGATTCGTATATAGACATAGGCCAAAATTTCCCACCCCCATAACTCAGCCAAATCTCATCAGATTTTCACGAGGTTTGGCTTTTTCTTCATGGTTTTCCCTCTAGATTAATCTGGCATTCAAATCTGACTACGTAAATTTTAGTCGAAATTCATGTCAAAATCATACCCCAAAGATTCGTATATAGACATAGGCCAAAATTTCCCACCCCCATAACTCAGCCAAATCTCATCAGATTTTCACGAGGTTTGGCTTTTTCTTCATGGTTTTCCCTCTAGATTAATCTGGCATTCAAATCTGACTACGTAAATTTTAGTCGAAATTCATGTCAAAATCATACCCCAAAGATTCGTATATAGACATAGGCCAAAATTTCCCACCCCCATAACTCAGCCAAATCTCATCCGATTTTCACGAGGTTTGGCGTTTTCTTCATGGTTTTCCCTCTAGATTAATCTGGCATTCAAATCTGACTACGTAAATTTTAGTCGAAATTCATGTCAAAATCATACCCCAAAGATTCGTATATAGACATAGGCCAAAATTTCCCACCCCCATAACTCAGCCAAATCTCATCAGATTTTCACGAGGTTTGGCTTTTTCTTCATGGTTTTCCCTCTAGATTAATCTGGCATTCAAATCTGACTACGTAAATTTTAGTCGAAATTCATGTCAAAATCATACCCCAAAGATTCGTATATAGACATAGGCCAAAATTTCCCACCCCCATAACTCAGCCAAATCTCATCCGATTTTCACGAGGTTTGGCGTTTTCTTCATGGTTTTCCCTCTAGATTAATCTGGCATTCAAATCTGACTACGTAAATTTTAGTCGAAATTCATGTCAAAATCATACCCCAAAGATTCGTATATAGACATAGGCCAAAATTTCCCACCCCCATAACTCAGCCAAATCTCATCAGATTTTCACGAGGTTTGGCTTTTTCTTCATGGTTTTCCCTCT